TGTAAAACCAAGTAAAGTATGTCCATTTCATTTATTTAGAAAGATCTATGACTAATAATACTATGAAAAAATTTGGCATAGTTAATGAAAAAGTATGCTTGCTGTGTGAACAGCTAGGAAAGCCTCACGGCACCACGCGAAGCCATGATCCACAGAGAAGCATTCAGCGCCAGTGCGCCTGCGGGAAGCACAGTCAGATCAGCATCTGTGCGTGAATCTGGAGGTGGCCCCCAACGAGAGGAGATTCTTCATCATCCTAAAACGTTTTTTAAATGTGTGCAAATTTTACATTCTGCCCCAAATTAGGTCAATGTTTGCTTTACAAAAAAAAGTTTAAAATTCTACTTAATATCCAAAATTTATAAAGAAGAACTACAGCACCAAAAAAACAGACAATACAATTGAAAAATGAACAAAGGACCTGCATAGAAACTTCTCCAAAGAAAACATACAGATGGCCCATAGACATATGAAAAAATGTTCAGTCTCACTAATCATCAGATAAATGCAAATTAAAACCACAATGAAATTTCACCTCACACCTGTCAGAACAGCTATCATCAATAAATCAGCAAATGAGTGTTGGAGAGGATGTGGAAAAATGGAGTCCTCATGCACTGTTGGTGGGAATGCAGACTGGTGCAGCCACTGTGGAAAGCAGTATGGAGATACCCCAACAAATTAAAAATGGAACTGCCTTATGATCCAGCAATTCCACTTCTGGAAATATATCCAAAGAAACCCAAAACATTGATTTGAAATAATATATCCACCCTATGTTCACTGCAGCATTATTTACAATAGCAAAGATTTGGAAGCAGCTCAAGGGTCCATCAGTACATGAGTGGATGAAAAGGCAGTGGTGCATTTACACAGTGGAATACTACTTTGACTGTGAAAAAGCAGGAAATCTTACCTTTTGCCACGGCACCGATAGACCTGTAGAGTATTATGCTAAGTGAACTAAGCCAGTCAGAAAAAGACAAATACCATATGATTTTACTTATTTGTGGAATTTACAAAATAAACTAAAAAAATAGAAACAAACTTATGGATACAGAGAACAGACTGACAGTTGACAGATGGGAGGAGAGTAGAGGGCTGGGTGAAAAAGGCCAAGGGATTAAGTAAAACAAACAAACAAACAAACAAACAACCTCCTATACAGAGACAACAGCATGGTGATTACCAGAGGGGAAGGGACAGTGAAGGGAGGTAGAAGAGGGTAAAGGGAAGATAAATGGTGGTGGAAGGATGTTTAACTTGGGGTGGTGAACACACAATACAATATACAGATGATGTATTGTAGAATTGTACATTTAAAATGTATTTTTGAGGGAGGACCAAAAAAAAACCCAGAATTATCTTCTGGAGGGTGGGCCCCTTATAATAAAACTTCCCCCCGCTAGGTGAGTGTCCTAGGAACCCATCTGTCTCAGTGCAACAGCTGGTGTTGTTTTGAGAGGCTGCGTTCAGTATCAGCGAATTTTTCTTGAAGACCCTTTCAGTGTGTTTGCCCGTTTCATGACTGGTGACTTACAACCACACCTGCCCACACCACACTGAGTGTTGAGCAGTTTTTGACCAAAAATGGCATGACCCCATTCCCTACCCTCCCAATTCACCTGATCTCACCCCAAATGACTTTTCTTTTGTTTTCCTGGATGAAAAAAGTCCTCAAAGGGAAATATTTTGCTGATGTGAGACAGGTAAAACAAAAAAATGGTGGAAGCACTAAAAGCCATCAGAATCGATGAGTTCCAAACCACTTTGAGCGATGGTAAAAAGTGTCTTGGCAGATGTACTGCATCAGGTGGAGAGTACTTTGAAGGTGACTGAACTTTAAATGGGTAAGGATAAACACAAAATTTTTTATAAATAAATTTGTCCCCCTCATAATTTTATTTGCCAATATCACCCCAATAAATTCCATAAAAATAAGTAAATAAAAATTTAAAATAGAATTATTTACCGTTAATTAAATGGGCTCTTAAGGAAGATGCACTGTGTTTATTACTGCCTTTGAACTCCCCAGACACTGGCATGCACCCTTCAAGCATGTCCACACTTTGAGAAGCACAAGATCCCAGGATATTGCAGCCCAGGCCATGGGATTTTTCTTAGAATTTAAGAGAATTCTTCCACATGTCCCCTTTCTACTTTGCTATTCAGTACATGTAAACTCTTGAAGTCCTTCTGCTTAGTTCTAGTGAAATTGTTAGAATGCAGCTCTAAGCACCTAATTGGTAGCATGTGCACATTTAGGATGACAGAGGGACATAAAATCAGCTTCCTGACACAGACATTTTGTTTGAGGAGAAGGGTCTGTCCAAAGTGAGAATTACCTACCCACTTCCTTTTTAAATCTGGTTAACACTGGAAAGCGAACTAAGAAGTGCTAAAACTTAACGCTTTTTTTTGAGCATTTAGAAAATATGATCAAACAGCAAGCTGGTCATGCTCAGGTATCTGTACAAGAAGTGACTTATTTATACATTCAGACTTCAAAACATTTCTAAGGCCTACCATGTGTGCTGTTAAAAGATTTTTAATTTTTGTTAGATAATCCCGCTTAGAGTGACATTATGATTTATTGCCACTAATCAAGATTCTGATTCCTCATAGACTTCTTGTTTGTATCTGTTTTTGTTCTTTGTTACATAAATATGAGGTTTATATATAAAATTCTGACTGTGTAATATAGGGCTAATGAGTCACAGATGGAAGGGCGCTGGCACATTACCATCTAATAACATTTTAAACTCATATTCCATAGTAAAACAAAAGCAAATTGTACACATCTGTTTTCCAACTTGTAGCATTTCTGAATTTGTGTGGAGTCTGTGCTTAAAGGACATTTTACTTAAGGAGAAGAAAAAGGGGAGAGAGCGGGTCACCCTGCAGCTACCCAGCCACGGTTTAGCCTGATCAGAAAGGACTGGCCAAAGGGATGCGATATCTTCTGCTTGGCTTCCTGAGAAGCCCCAGCTCCAAAGAATGGGAATCAAAGGCATTAAAGCTGAAGAGAAAGTCTCATACTACAAACATCGTTTCAGTGGTTTTGTTGAAAAGAAAACTCTATTTCTAGTGAGAAGAAAATAAAAGAGAAAATGTACCCAAACTAGTAAAATTTAGAAACTAAAAATTTTCTGGCCTTTCCTAAAAGTATTGTCAAAATAGATTTGGGTGGGAAGAGGAGGAGGACAGTGAAGGGGCGACACGCAGGAAGGCAGCGTGTATTGCCCTGGTGGTTGTTTATCTTATTTGTATGCTGAACGCGGTCCGTGTGAAAAAATCGAATGAAAGGCTCCAAAATTGCATGTCATTGAGAAAAAAAAAATAGAACAAAGGCAAAATTTCTGTTTCAGACCTACCCAGTTGACAACGCCTGCAGGGACGAGTTAGTGCAGTGAGTGAAGCACAGGGCTCTACATCGCCTCTCCCCGTGCTCCCTGTTTAAGGAATTCAAAACCACTTCTTGGCTTCAAGGGGTTGTGTGAACTGTCAAGTTCTTTTGCAAAAGTTATGTGACAGAAGTAATCACTACAGAGTGTGACCATAACGCCCCCTGACATGAAGTACGCATGTTATAAGAGACAGATTTCCATCCACCACCTCTGCAGGAATTCCTTCAACTGGAGAGACCTGAGAATCACCAGATGATTGGAGGGAGAAATTTTTATATGTGGGGGGTAAGGCTATATTTTGTGAGGCATACTACATTTATTCTGAGGAATACTGGTGATTGGAGTGCAAAATTCTGTTCACAATCATCCAAAATGGAATTAATACACGCATTGTATGTTCTGAATGGTAGAGTGAACAGAATATCGATAGAAGGAAATTCAAGTGTTGTTCTTATAACAGTGTCTGTAGTTATCTGCATTTCATACTAACATTTTGTACATAAGATTCCAGACATGGAAAGAGTGTATACTCAGATCTATTGTACCTGCTGCAAGGAGCAGTTACAAGGAGTTCCCATTCTGGCCCTTTAAGGAATGTGTCACCTGGGAGCCCCGTGTGTCTGATTTTGTTTATGGTTTGTCAAATGAGGCAAGAATTGGAGCTGGGATGGGGTGCTGTTAGGTACATGCTTGTTTTGTTTGTCCACCAGTGAAATGTCTGTGTGACGTTTTGTGTCGTGTTTTGGTGCTGTGCCCTGTCCGTAGGGTCTGCCAGGCTTCCCCACAGTTGCTGCCCTGCACAGCAATCAGATCCTCACCGTCAAGGTTTGTGGTTGGCACCCATGCACTCCGTCAGAGCCTGCAATCAGCATAAGAGTGAGCAAGAACTGCTAAATTGGCCAGCCGAGTCCTGCCGTGCTCCCTTTCATCTGACATAGCAGGCATTGGGCTCCTGGGGCCTCACCTACATCGGTGAGGTCAAGCAGATACGGAAAAGGGGAATCTTGAGTATTTAGGTCAGTAGGATGTTGGAATCGAGCAAGGACAGTGAGGAGAGGCAGGCACAACTCTCTAGAACTGGGCTGCACCTCGATGCTTGAGTGTGCATGCATGGCAAGGCCCCATGATATTTTTCAGTCAAGTAAACAATCCTAAGTACTCTGGACTTTGGCATCGATAAAATGGCCGTCACGTTCATGCCACATTATGCTGGTTGGCAAGTCTGACGGAAACTGAACTGGCACTTTGTCTGTGGGCTTTCTGCTTGGAGTGCAAAGTGCAGGTGACTCCAGCTTACCTGACCCTGTAGAACCCTACGTGAGAAAGACCCAACACCTGGGCATAATGATGGGATACAAACAAAAAATCCATTTCTAACTAAAAATCTGGTCTCACCATCCTGTTTCAGGGTTATATTTCTTTCACAAAAAGCCATAGGGTCTGTTATAAGACACAAGTGCCAGTTCTGCTTTATTTGCTGGTCATTATAAGTCTAATGTGTATATCTTTATTTCTTTCTTGGGGCCTTCTGATGTCTATTCTTCAACTCTCTCACCTCTGAACTTCAACCTTTGACCTCACCTGACTGATCAGATGGTGTTTCCTAAAATCAATCATGGGTTTCTCTCTGCTGATCAGCAGCTCATTAAACGCCGCCTGATTAAGGTAGTGCTTATTCTTGCTCAAGTCTAATTTCTCCTTTGCATTCAGTTGTTACTCTATATACTGTTGCTTTGCCATTCACCTCTCATGGGTTGGTGTGGAGTGGGGGGATATTTATTTAGAAATATCTTAAAACAAACTTATGTTTAGTGAGCTGCATTTGTTTGAAATGTATGTGAAAGTACCAAAATAAAAGGCATACAGTGCCTATTTTTTTCTTAATTAAGTAAAAGACAGCTTAAGTTATAACCAGTAGTAGACTCAGTTTCTAAGGTCTCTAGCTTGGGTAATATATAAATTATGATATAGCATGACAATAGCCTTGTATGCTTAATTTTATAGGCTATGAAAAAGAAAACACATTGCCCAACTTCAAATGCAGCCCTTTTGTTAAACAAAGTGATATCACTGATGCAGCACTGTCATGGATAAAGTTATGCAAAGGTTTTATACCAGCGTGGAATAGAGTGGAAACAGACACACCGTTCCCAAGAGCTGAGAGCAGTGCTGGTTCCTGAGCTGCTGTGATTTTAATAGCTGCACTTAGCTCACCCAGCATGAATATTTATTTGATCCCTGCTGGCAAGCAAATTGCCTACATGCTTCATGTTTCTGGTTGCTCTGGTTCTTTCAAAGTGTAAATGTGAATTAGATAATGCAAATTTAAAGTGTGGAAAAGAAGACCTGAGTCTTTATCTTCTGTGCTCATGGTTGGTCTGTCCCCATCTCCATTGTAGGGTGACCAAGGACAAGCTGGGCCCCCAGGCCCGCCAGGCCCTCCAGGCCCAAGAGGGCCTCCTGGGGACACAGGCAAAGATGGCCCCCGTGGAATGCCAGGAGATCCCGTGAGTTGCTTTTCAGATCACTTGTTCTGACAGGTTTGGTTTTGTCTGGAGGGCTGAGAATTGGGAGGGAGTGGGGTTGGGAGGGGCCGTTAAGGGGGTCTAGAACGTGGAGTGGGTTGACGGAAGAAGGATGGTAGGAAAGTCCCCAAGCAGAGAGGACCCTGCCAGCAGGATTCTGCTTTACCACTCAGTCCACGGGGACCCCAAGGGAACCACAAGACCTGGGGACTGCAACTAAGCTGGTTTTCAGGTAAGCCTCCAGAAGTCTGATTGGACAAGGCTGATGTCATTTGAGTCCTGATAACATAGAGTTCATCAGTGCCTGCAGTTTAAATGGAAGACCAGCATGAAAACCCAGGTGGAGGATTAATCACATTTTCTAAAAGATCAATAGCAGAGATGATAAAGTCCCATACAATTTATGAAGGGTAAAGAATTTAAATCTTTCAAATATTTTATCCCTTGTTAATAACTTGACCAAAAAGGATTGCTGATAAAGCAGTAAAATTAATGGTTAAAACATCAAACTACTATAGAGACTATTTATCCACAATGTAAGAAAATTTTAAATAAAGACAACCAAAAACAAAAAATAAAAATCAGCATAGTCATTGTTTTGGTATATTTTATCTATTATGTATTTTTTCAAAGAATGATTCTGTTCGCAAGAATATAAGGTGCTTTAAAACTTCTCATAGACAAACTTCTATAAGTCCCATTTCCCTTTCTGAAAGCTGTTGTTAATTTGTCATATGAAATGAGGAATTAATTTGCAACATATGATACAGGACTGCTTTAACTGAATCATCAGAGAGAGTGGTTTCATCCAAAATTGTCAAATGTTCCCCTTTTTTCTTGGGTGGGTATCTCAAAAGATAGGAGAAGCTGCGGTTTTAGGGATATTTAAAGCTCTCCGACTGATTGCTGTTCTCTAACAAAGGTGCAGTGAGTGTCTCTCTGGGAAGAGGGGCAGTTAAAGCCATGTGGATGGTGCAGAGTCAGTCAGGGCTTTGGGTGTTGCTACTCTACAGGGAATTTGAAGTGTAAGTTACTTTCAAAAAACAAGATAAACCGAGAGCACAGCAAATTGTAAATCATCCGAACACTAGGCCATCCTAGTTCAGATATAATTTGAACTAGATTTAAAGTCTCAGAGTTAATTTTATATACTATCATAACCACTGAAAAAAAGATTTTATAAAAATCTTTTATAAACTGAGAAGTATTTATTTTTAAAGTCCAACTATATCCATATCTATATCTAGGCATTATAAGCATGTTTAAAAAAATAACTGTAACCAATGACTGCTGTTATAATAATATACTAAAACATGATAAGGAATTCTGTATGAATCTGAGTATTTGAAAGTTATGATCGTGGTATAATATGACAGAAAATTTTATCTTAATATATGCTGTCCATTTTAATTAATCATGTTACTTCAGCCATTGTTAATCCAGGATAATTAAAATTCAAAATCAATCTTCGCTCCTTTTCTTATTTAGTTCCTGCACTAAGAGTAATTGCCTATCTCTTGTATATACATATGTATATGTATATACCCATATACATATATATATATATATATAGGAGTCCTGAATTCACAGAAAGAGGTCTGTGTCATTATCTTTTGTCTTCATGAACAAGACATAATATTAAGTGAGATATTACTGTAATTACAATTAAATATTTTTATAGGACCATTTCATGACATAATATAATTTTATTTAGAATATATTACTTGGTATAATCTTAAATCTCTACTATAATCGAGGCTCATTTTATTAAATCCTAAAATGTTTATAAAATGCATTTGAAGAAAGGATATTGGCCTTTTTTTATTGCACTGTGTTTGCATTTCTCTATTTAGCTTGAAAAGTGTATTTGATGTTTACGCACCCCAATGAGTATTGTGAACAAGAAAAACAATATTGAAATTGTTTTTTAATGTTTATAGCATTAATAAAATGATCACTATTCTTTTTTAAGGGTGAGCCAGGGAACCCAGGAAAGCAAGGCTCAATGGCAAGTATCTCAATTTACCCTTTACTTTGAATTCTATAAATTGTCATAAAATTGATATGATAAATAATGGAAGTCTAAGTTACTTAACACTGTTGTCAAGATTCTGTGTAACAAATATATCTGTCATGTGACCCATGGCAAAAAGAGTGAAAATTAGTAAAAGTTTAAAGGTAATATGGCCTGTTATATGGTGAAGGTCACAAGACACATCTGTGGGACCGACAGGAGAAAAAGAGAGGGAGATTCTGGGTGGGAGGAGTGACAGAGACACAGGAAGGGCAAAGGAGAGATTCAGGGGCACACTTAATAGCATAAATAAAATGAGTTTTGAAAAGATTGATGTAACTAACTGTGAATTAGTATAGTAAACCTTCCATAGTAATTCAAGGAGTTTTCGGTTGAAGGGCTTCACCCAGAGAGAAGCAGTTGTGCCTTCTTGATCTCCGTCATTAAAAAAGATCATGAGAAGGTTCCGCATGGACTCACCCTCAGACACGCACACTCAGTTCCTCACAACTGTTGATCTTGGCCGGTGAGAGGAGTTGGGACAGCTTGCTGATCCCTGAAGAGTGGAAGCCCTTCAACCCACCTCTCCCTGTCTCTCTTGTGGCCACTGGAGCCTTTTTTCTGACATATTTTATGATATAAACAGTATTGGGGAACAGCGGGTGACCATCTAATAGCCCAACTACCACGGGATGGCAGTGTCTCACCTCGTTGTCCTGGAGGCAGTGATCACAATAAGCTTTACCAGGCCTGTTCTACAGAATGTGTGACACGCAGCCTGCAGGTGTATGTTCAGGGTATAAAATTTATTTGAAAAAAATAATTAGCTAAGTTCTAATGAAACTGATGCACAGAAATGGGATGGTTGGTCGATACTGAAAATAAATGTGTAATTGGCTTAAAGGTCAAAGTCTTATCCCTGCAAAGGACACCTGCAATAGCCCTCCTGGGAAGAACTCAGCAAACAGTAGGCAGAGCTGTAGCGTAGCTGACTTTGAAACATCACTGGGGAAAGGGGAGCATGCTGGGGCCGAATCTGACCTTTTGCCTGGAAATTCTCGGTTCCTCGCTTATAATACCAAGATAGGTACTTGATGCAGATAATTTGGTGGGAGGGGGAGATGTTATGTTGGATTCTTTCTAAAAAGATCAAAATGAAACAACAAGAAAAGACCACATATAACAATGAAACAAAATATTTGCCGTCCATGGTAACTTTGCAGGCAAGAGCAGCATTAGCTGTCAGGGCTATAGGATCACGAGAGGTGAAGGATTCTTGGAAAACTACAATATAAATTTTGAAAGTGCTTTAGGCAACTGAATGCACCTGTGATTTCTATCCTGGCTAATGGTCAGAATCCCTCCCAGGCATTCTTACACTGACGGCTGCTGGGACTCTTTGGAGCCCTCGTTTGTTCCCAGGTGTGCACGTCCTACCGAGATTGTCGTGGCTTTCGACCCCACCATGCTGTTCAGTGTCCTCATACACAAAGTTCTGAACTAAAAGTGGATTTTTAAATTACAACCTTATCTTCCTTAAATTCATATATTCTCTCTAGAATGTACTATGTGAATAGCAATTTAACCCCATTTCCCTACAATTCCTAGCTCACTATCATTAAACATAAATGTACCTGACCTCAGCTGTTATTATTTTAGTGTGCTCCACTTTCCCATTTCTTACAGCAGCTTTTGAGATGAAGATAATCCTGTGTATTTTCTAAAAACTTTTCCTTGACTTTAAGCTTTTAAGATTTAGTTTATATTCTCATTTTTAAAAATGCAGCTAAGAAACTTAATTAAATCACAAATGTTCAAAGGCTATATGCAATGTAATGCTCTTCCAAAGTACACTGTACTGATATTCAAGATGTAAAATACTTTTTATAAGAAAACTTCTATATTATGTATAAGGGAAAGTAGACAAATCTTAAGTCTATATCTCAGGAAATTTTTTTGAGTTGAAGAATAGAATATTACCATACCCAGAAAACCCCCCTTTACCCTCCAGTCACCACCCTCTTTCCACCCAAGTTCACTACTATTCTAACTTCTATCACCATAGATTAATTTCACCTGCATTGGAATTTTACATTAATAGAATCAACAGTACACTTTTGTGCCTGGCTTCTTTCGTTCAACATTGTATTTGTGAGATCATCCACTTCTGTTTTAATAGCCTTCACAGCTGGTCAAGAAAAATAGGAGGAAGAACCTTACTTCCTTGAATACCCTGTTAAAGCTACATCACTCAAAGAGCAGTAAATGAATAAATGGTCTGTCTGTCTGACCTTGGGCAAGTCACTTAACCTCTCAATTTCTCATCCGTGAAGAAAGGATAATAATATGGTCTCCACCTCCCTTTTAAGGTTGCCCAGGACAAATGTAATAAATTAGGAGAAAGCACTTTAAAATGTAATGAAGAAGTACATGAGTATGTTACTATTATTATCACTCAGTTGTTTCCTCTAGAGTAAACTACAGGTGAGCATGGATCTATATAACAGATGCATTCTTGCAAAGTTCTGTGTGAGTCATGTTTTCATAAACCAACATATCTTAAATGTGCTGAGGAATTTTGCTATTTAAAGCAATCCTATTCAGAGTCTTGTAAAGCAATATAATCTTAATTCTTCCAAGCAAGCTGAAATTTTTTTATCTTAAAGTTGCTTAAGTTGAAATATTTCTATGATATAAAAAATTGTATCATTTTTTAAAAACCACTATTTATGTTTGTTAAGTTAAATAGCATCTGTATATATTAACCAATTGCAAAGAGAGAAGAGGGATACTAGAAATATAATAGCAGTTTTCATAAGGAGAAAAATTTCCTTAGAAAGCTTTTCTTTTAAATCAGCTGTGTATGTGTGTGTGTGTGTGTGTATTGACTCAAAGTCTGGTAGGCAGAAAAGTACATTGCACTCATAGTTCTGGCCTCAAAAGTACTTAGGAGTATATGACTAGAATCTGAGATCCTTTTTACTGGCCTATAACATGTAACACGTGGACAAATTCCCATCTCAAATTTACTCATCTCACTGGGTTATGGTGAGAAGGAAGTAAAATAATAACAATAGGAAACACTTTATGAACTACAAAGAGTTCCATAAAGGAGAAGTATTGGAGGTTGAAACAGAAGTCCAGTGGTACAGCTCAGCATACAGACCAGCTCTAAGAAACGCGAGGGTGGGAACAGGGTGGTTATAGACATCGCTGAAGTCACAGATCCTGCGATGACGGAGCAGCTTACTCCTTTTGTCCTGGTGTGTTGTCACCATATGTCTGGCCTTCTCCTACGTGTCATCATTTTACATCATCAGCTTCTCATGATGCTCCCCTGTTCATCCATTTGCTAAACTAAGAGAAGGTAATAAGTACCACTGTTCTCATGTTTTCCACAAGAGCCACGACATCTCTTGGTTTGTGTTGTGCAGGAGCATTTGCTTAAATGCGAGTCTTGAGAAGCACTGGAGAATTCTTAAAAATTTAAAACGTCCCTGATGATGAAATGAAAAAGCTAGGAACAATCTAAAATTAGATCTTACAAAACCGTTTATGAGTGTGTCAGGTGTGGAGTTTGTTTTCCTAATCCAGGATATATATTTTATATTACAAAAATAATCATCTGAAGGTTAACAGCTTCTCTGATACGATAAAGGAGACCTGCTGCTCAGGCAGCTCCATGTGTGTTTAATCCTGCTGTGCATCTATTCTGTAAACATGACCTTCAGGTTTTCCAGGGAGTTCAGGATGAGATTTTAAAAGACAGACCCTTGAGCTGCCAAATAAATTGGACTCCATCTAAATAAAGAGGGAATGGCTCCAGCCTCAAAGCCAGGACTGACCACAACTGGAGATGCTAAAGTTCTGGACCCTGGCATGAGCGAGCTTTATTCTTAGGTCTTTAGAAATTTAAATGCTTGTTAAAATAGTATTTTTGAAGGTATCTTCTTTTTGATATTTTCACTTTTTTTTACAAATTGTAGTGGAGGTTCTCAAAAGCATAAAAGGTAGATGGTGTACACACACACACACACCAACCAGTCCCATTTTCCTGGAAATTATTTTTTGATCCAGTGTGTCTATATCCAAAGTTTCACTGATCAAGCTACTTTATTTTCTCTGAAGCTCTTTCTTCATTTTTCTCTCTTACCCCAAATATATACAAATTCCATAGTATATCCATTCATCTCTTTCTGAATTATTAGAGTACTTGAAATGTGATTCGTTGGGCCCTGATGGTATCTGAGAATTCAAAACCCAGAAAAATTTTGCTGTTATTATTCCTTAAAGTGAAATTTGGACTGTGTCAAGGAGTTTACACATATTTTCAGTTTATTTCAATTTTTCCTGCAATCACATTTAATACATTTGGGTCAAGTGAATATAAATAATGCTTTTTAGTTAGTTAATAATATAAGCATAAATAATTGCTTCTACTTCATTGAAAATAAATTGAAATAACCAATATGTGAAGATTTATTCTAAATATATTCCGTTATAATGCTTTGCTGTCCCATAGATCTGATAAGACGTGTCATCTCACTTTGTTGTGTTTGCTCTGCCAGCTGCCTTTATCAGCAGGATGGCAGGCCTCGAGGCAGCTGCAGGCTTCTCTTCCTGTTAATCTGGCAAAGGAAGCAAAACCTCAAACTTTCAAATCACAAATTGCAAAAGTGACCAAAATCCTCTCAGCATATTCATAATTAGACTACATGTTCACAATGAAATCTCGTTTGGTAAAACTGTGTGTGCTTCGGTTGTGCGCACTGCCTGCTGGGATGACTTAGCAACTGTTCTAATGCTTTATTGTCCTCACTTCATCTGCTCGTCCATGAGGTACATGCAAATGCCACACCAACAGACCCCTTCCCACCTCCCTGGTGCCTTTGTCGAAGCCTGTAATGCTCCGTTTTCCAAACGGGCGGAGAAACGATAGACAAATAATGTCTTCTCTTTCTGGTTCTATCCCACTGCCCCATCCAGTTGCCCAG